CCGAGCGGTACTTTTTTGACTGCCGATGTGTGCGCTGCGGCGACGGAGACCGAAGCCCGTTTGAGTCGGCGCTTTCGGCGACGCTACGCCTGGGGGGAAGCAGAGAGAAGGAACGTGAGTACATCTCATCTGTACAGATCCTTTGCGGCCGCGTTCGTGCTAAGGATGTGGGCGATGTGGACGTGGGTGATCGTGACGCGTTGCTCCATCTTCTGCAGGAGTGTCGTCAGTACCTTTTTCCTTTTCACTACCTCTGTCACGAGCTGCACAATACACTGAGCTTTGTTTACGCCGTGCTTGGTGACACGCGTGCTTGTCTGTGTAGTTGTCTAAGGGAGTTGGTCATGTGGGAGGCCATTGTGCCTGGAGCCCACCCGGTAAAACGGCGAAAGGTGCAGAACGCACTGCGGTGTTGTGCAGATGAATTTGCTGACAACAGCGACACGGTGAAAATTGGCCCAAGCAGCAACAGCAAGAATGATACTCATGAAGAGTCCCTGCTTCCGCTGCGGTCTCTTCTTATGAAATTTGCCACGCTGTATGATGTTGCCTGCTGAGCCGATGCGATCAACCACGCGGAGTTGATTGTCTTTTTTTTTTTTGTGTGTGCGTTTTCTATAATATATATATATATTTATATACACACACCTCTACTCCACTTGTTTGTGCGATTCCCTGGTGTACATTTCCGGAATTCGTATCAAAGAGAACTTTTCTTTTTTTTTCTTCTTTTTTTGTTTATGTCGTGTTTGTCTTGCAATGGGACGACGTCACTGACGTTGTTTTTTTAGTGGATTTTGGGAGGGACGGATGGTGGCGGAGGAGGCGCGGCAGGAACGGGATGCGTGTGTGGTTCATTCATTGCCTTTCAAGACGACATTTCGTGGCACAACTGACATTGAGGAGAACTTCTCGCGTCACATTGAGCACACCGAGAATGGCGGGTTGCGTAACAGACTACGTGGCCGTACGCTTATTGGCCGGGAGGTCGTTTTGCCACCGTCGTATGTTCTTGCGGTTACGAGCTTTATGCCACGGCAGCAGCATCCGCTGGGGACGGGGGCTGCTGGTTGTGTGACGTCCTCGGCGCCGTCGCTTGCACAGGTGGAGGCAGTGGCGTCCGATGTTCGCATCACCGCCATCGAGGATCGCTTTTGTGTGTGGGAACACGACAAGCAGCCGGAGCGTGTGGACGCACTGGCGCATTGGCTGGAGCTTTCACGTACTCTGCACTCTGCGCCATAGACGTTCATTGCCTCTCAGGTAGAGGGGATGTTGGGTACGTATGTGTATGCGTGTGATGATGCCTGGTGTCGTGGTGTGCGGTACGAGGCGAGGGAAGGAGTTTTTTTTAAAAAATTTTTTTTTTTTCTACTCACTGTAACTTTTATTTTATTTTCTTTTTCTTTAATTTACTTGTTTTTGAAGTTGTCTACTGCCGAATGGCTGGCCAGCACCACGCGAGGGATCTGCAGCAGGCGTTAGAGTCCCGTCTGCCGTATGAGGCGCTGAGTGGCCCACTGCGACAGCGGGTGTCGTTGCAGGCGTACAAACTGCACAGCGTGCACTTTGCGGCGTTGCGCTATCATAGTTATCAACGCCTCCCAAAGTTCCTGCGTGTTAGCATGACCGAGCAGAGCTATTACGAGGTGCTTATTGCCTACCTGCAGGAGAATCTGCAACTTTACCCCTATTTACACATACGCAAGATTGCCCAATACACGAAGGAGACGCCACTTAGCTACTATACAACAATGATTTCGGAACTTCTGAAGGCAGAGCGCAGCTATGACACTTTACCAAACTTTACTGCCGTGGATGTGCTTAACATCATTGGGATTGGACGTAATCAATACCTTGAGCTGACGAAAGAAGTACGAAGTAAACTCCGATGGCACATCAATCGGCGGTTTGTAAAAAATTACTTGCCATCCGAGATGCTGCCTTCTGTTACACTTCCACCGTTTTGGGGCGTCTTTGCTGTGGATATGCCAGCGGAGGCAATCAAGAGGGTAAACCTTAGCAATGAGGAGGCCGCGCTGCATCGTCAGCTTCTTAAACTTTCAGCGGAGAATGAAAGCCATAATAGTGGCAGTGGCGGTTGCCATTTTGCGTGTGAGTTTCCTCGGGAGCCCCTTCACGCATTGTACCGCAAGGGATTGGTTTGCGCAACGTTCTCGGTGGGTCCTGAGGATCAAATTACGGTGCCGCCGCTTGAGCGGTTTGTCATGAATCGCACTTCAGATGACCCGACAGAAGTGATGCTGTACAAAGTTCTTTCCACAATTGACAATCGCACCTCGCTAAGTCTTCTCGCGCAGCTTTTGATGCTTGATGAGTTGGATGTCTGCGCAGCGGCCCAAGTGTACATTCGCCTCGGCCTGGCACAGCTTAAAACGGTCCACATTCCGGAGGAAATTTTAAATTTTACGGAACGCGTGCATGAGACGTGGCGAGATGTTGTGGAAGAGCGCATGTCAGAGGCTTCCGCCGTGTCTCTTACAGGCTCCGCACCCTGCACCTTTACAGAGGCGGGTGCATCAGAGGCGGATGCAGGCACAAAGGACACATGCCCCAACAATGGTAGTCACCCCCCGAGGCGTATAGCGCTGCTTTACGACGCCAGTCTCACGGGGTTTCTTATGATGACTAATTTGAGCGCCGACCCAACCTTTAAACAACATGCTGTGACGTTATTTGAACTGGGCAAATTGTCCGAGGAGATGATTGGAAGTTTTATTGAAAAGTTGGAACAAGTAGATATTAAAACCGAGCACGATCTTGGTGACGAGGCGGTGAAATATATTTCTAGCGTGTTGAGTTTACGTGAGGTGCTTAAGGCGCTTCGGCGTGTTGTAGGGCCTGACAAAGAGTCTGGTGTGGATATGCTGAAGGTTGAATCCATGAATGAGCTGGAACCAACAACGCGATATTCCGTTTTGGGACGAAACTACTGGGCTTATTTTGTGACATCGCCCGTATCGTATGCTCCACTTATTGATGTGGCACTTAATGGCGTGTATGGGAGTACTGTGAGTTTGATGCCGTCACCGTGGATGACGTTATACCTTTACAACAAAATGGGTACTGGACCGCCTTCTTTGTTGCTTCCTGTAGGGGCACGCCTTGCGGCCTGGCCGCCTCTGCTTCAGGACACGGAAAAAAGTGTCGCCAAGCTGCGCCTGCAGCCCTTTACCATGGATGCGGAAATCACATACGTGGAGGCGGCTAGTTCTATTATTTTGCTGAATGAAATGACAGTCATGGCACCCTTGTTTGTACAGCGTGTGGAGGATGTGCCACTGGAACGTGATATGGAGGGTAGATTTCTGGTGGAGTCGACCAAATACACATCCCTTGACGTTGTGGTGCCATTTACAGCCTCGGATACGGAGGCCGTGGCGTTATTTTGTGCGGCTGTGAAGCAGCACTCCCATGCGAATTCCGTTCACTTTGTCAGTGCCGATGTGGTGGATGAAATGGTAGGACTGAGACGTTTTCTGGATCTTTTTCATTTGGCCGTGGAGGCGATGCACCTAAAGGACTCACTGGGTTGCTTTACCTTCCATGTTTCTCTCCACGAGGTGGTCAAGGAGGAGGGAGGGGGCAAAGAAACAGCACCGACACCTACGCCAACGGTCACGCATGTCGACCCCACGAAAGGGAGGGGATTTAAAAAGGAAATGTCGCGGTGTTATTCTCTGGCCGATGCACACATCACAGATCTCGGCTTTGGTATACCATTGACGCATCCGGACTGCTGCTCCGTCATGGTGCGCCACCTGGAGGATTTGCTTGGGGAGACACGTAGTGAGTGCCACAACAACGCGATGCGGGATCTCGCGAATGACTTTGGTCTTTTTTTGGGGTCCCACTCGCCCCTGACGTCATCCGCCCGGGAAAAGATGGCGCTTCAGTCTACAGCGGTCGTGGGCCCGTCCACGCAGATGCATATTCGGCGATTGGGCGAGGGTGGCAACGGGGGTGCGCCCTTCCCAAGTGCCATGATCTTTTTTGATGGTGCGCACCTTGCCGTCATGGACGACTGGAACCCTCTCGTGGAATTGTGGCCGGTGTAAGGGCTGTGGTGCACGTTTCCACGTCCCATTTTTTCCTCCCTCCCTCTCTGTCTGTCTGCCAGTCAGTCAGTCTCTCTCTCTCTCCCTCTCTCTGTACGTGTGGAAGTGCGACTTTTCCATGAATAGAAGGAAGTGCGAGTACACAAAATTCACTGGTCAGGAAGCGAGGGACGATTGAACAGGCGCTGTTCTTTTTTTTTTTTTTTTGTTGTTGTTGTTGCCGCTGTCGTCAAATGCGTTGAGTTGTATTAAAAAAGTTTAAAGACCCGTGTTATTCTTCGGCCTTACTCTCTTCCCTTTTTTTCTTGTCTGTTTTTTTTTTTTTTTTTCTTTTTTCTTCTTTGGGGTGGGGGGTGGGATCTTACCTTTTACCAGCAGGAAAGAAATAAATAAAAAACAAAAAAAAAAGGGAAAGGAAAGGAAAGAGAGATTGGATTTGTTTTTATACAGAAATCGATACATACACATACACACACATACGAACATACAACGTTTGTTCTCCTGCATTCATGTCGCATGAGGTGTTTTGTCTTAGGGAACTTAAACATAAGTTGTCATGTAAAATTGATAGCATTGCCACCGCACGAAATCTTTTCTTTCTTGGCACAAGTGATGGGAAAGTGATGGTGTACGAGGTCTCTCTCCAAAACCGTGACGCCCAATGTGTTTACATCCATAATTCCAAGCACAAGCTACCCATCCGTATGATCATTCCCATTGTGGAAAAGGGGATTTTGCTTGTTCTTGCGGGTGACGTTATTGCAGTACACCAGCTGAACCACATGACTCACGCCCCGTTGGACAGCCTGCCGGAGGACCGGCTACCAGAAATGAATACCGTCAAGGGGAGTAAAGATATCGTCACATTACACGTGAAGCGTCAAAGGGGCATCTTTTCCATGGCGGTCCTTCAGCGCAAAAAAATTACATTGTACGAGTACAGAGACCACTTGAGGGAGTTTGTGATGGTGAATGACGGATTTCTGCTGCCGGACGGCGCCAAGACGCTCCTTTGGGTAGGGAAGAATATTATACTTGGTTTTCGTCGTGAGTATGTCATCATGAATGTTTTGAGTGGTGCCACGGACTACCTGTACCCCACCGGAAAGAGTGGCATCCCCCTGCTCCTCTCACTGGACCCCGTGCCGGAGGTACTCGTGGGGGACGAAAACAAGGGTATGCGGGCGTTGCATGACGGCAGTCTTGTCCCGGGGAAGAGCGGGATGTCGTGGTCGTCGATCCCCACCAATGCAACGTACATTCATCCCTTTCTTCTCACTGTTCATGACAACAACTGCATGGAGGTGCGACTGCCATTTTTTACTGCCCACGCTGAGGCATCGGATTTGTCGCCGTGGCAAACCCTCAGCCTGAAGGGCGCCGATCGCATCTCGCAGCGACCCTTTGCGGACTTTGACGCCAGTTTGCCAAAAGAGGCAACACCTTCCGATGCGTTGCGGAAGGACATCAGTATTTTG